CCACGTCATCCACTGGCAAATCCAGGCACCAGTGTGGGTCGACCCAGGTTTGGTCGCAACAAAGACTAGTGCACAATATGGAATGCCGAGGTGAGGTTGCCTGTACCGGAGGGGACCGCAGCGTCCAACCAGCCTGAGAACAAGAAAGGAAGTAGGCAGAGCCAGCAGGTGAATAAGGGAGGGTTCCTTTGCAGGATAGCTATTTCCGCAGGAGAGCATGGGCTGGGATGGGGGCAGACCAGACTAGGCAGAGCTACCACACCTGTGCGCCTCATGTGGACTAGATCAGGGAAAAGCTGGGCTGGGCGGATTATTCCTACTGGTGCAAACAGAATTAAAGTAGGCGAGGTTTGTTTGGGCAGCATCAACTGGAATCTGGGAGTGGGAGAGGCCTGGGAGGGTAATAGTGGGCTCATCCCTCTTGGGTTACCACTTCCACGGGAGGACATAAAACTAAACAGTGGCTGGGGTGGAATGGGGTGTGGGACAGACTGGATTACTGCTACACTTACTGGCAAACCAGGGTAGGGGCGGTCCTGGTGGGGGTTATTGTGGGTCGCTCCAACTAGGCTGCAGCTCCCACTGGTTTAGGTGAGGGCCAAGTATGTGCGGGGCAGAACCAGGCTGGACTGCAACACCCATTGGTTCCAGTGGAAGTCGGGAGGGAAAACAGAACCAACCCAGCAATTACAACCACCAGCTGATTGGAGCGATGGACGGTGCCAGGCCCTGTACTTGTTAGCACATACAAGAAGTTTCTTTGGAGATCTTCCTAATCTAAATGCTGGACTCAGAACCCTACCGAAGAAAAGAGAGAAGACAGAACGGGTCAACCAACCATCTCAGCTATGATGGACTATGTCAATCAGTGGATTTTTCAAAGACCTCATAGTGCTTGGAGTGGCAAGATTGACAGCGATTCATAACTGTTGCAATATCAAAACCACTTGAGCAAGAACCTCAGAGCATGCCCTACACCCGGGACTTGGGGAGGGTGGGAAATTGGGTGGGCCTTCTCCCTTAATACCCCCCTTTTAAACATGAAGGTAACAATATGGAAAACATACTAGTATTATCCAAAAAAAAAAAAAAAAAAAAAGAAGTGGAATCATATTTTTCCTTTGTGTATCACTTATTTTGGCATATAAAGTTCTTTCATCTTGTACATGGATGTGTAACAGGTGTCAGAATTTTATTCCTTGGGGACAACATTATGGTGCACCAAGCTACCATTTGCAATGACAGCATACCATATAGACGCAGGTTTTATATTTTAAAAAATCTGGCTGTTTAACCCAGTTCCCTGCTAATGTGCTTTAGAAGGCAGAAGATGACTAAAGTACTTGGGCCCTTGCCACCCATGCGGGAGACCCAGCTGGAGCTCTAGGCTACTGATTATTCTGGTTATTGGACAAGTGACCCAGAAGATTAAAAATTTCTTTTTATTTCTTTCAGGGCATGACACTCTGAAAAAGTACATTCCCACAACTTTTTCTAAATGCTGCTGCTCTTTCTGAAATGCTTTGATTTGATATACAATAACATTCCATATTTAATGTTTTTTATCATCTGTGCCATGCTTCTATGCTGTTCTAGATATTTGGCAATCCATTCAGAATGCACTCATGAATGGACCCAAAATTGAATAGAACAACACTGGAGATCAGAGAGTAATATCACTGCACATCTTATCCTATCAGACACATAGTTACTTTAAAAGCAGTGAAAACCTTTGCTGGATTCTTCTGGAATGAAGCTTCTGTTCATTAAATCTGAAATATTTGGAATACAGGACTTCAAAAATATAATTAATGATCATGAAAGGTGACCACCCAAGTGGACTATCAATGCAAATGCCCAGTTTATTGTTAATGTACTTCTCCATAAGTCCAATTTTATTTTCTCCTTTACCACTTTTAAAAATTGGAAATACAAATTTTGCAGACTTTTAGAGTCCTGTTTTATACATTTTTTGACAAATTTGTCAGATTGCTTTCTTATACCAACTTTCTGTGTAAGCACTGCGTACACAAAAATAATCTCAGTAAATATATGTTCTTTTTGTGCATCTGAATTTGAGCAAGAAAAAAAAAATTCTCAAGTTCTCAGCTCATTGAGCAGCTGCATATGCATTGTTTTATTTGTGGAAACAGAGGGCACAAACAGCCCTCTACACAGATACATCCCAAGCTGTATAATTACTTCAGTCAATGTTTGTTTCCCATCATAGCATTTGATCTTACCAAAACACTTAGTTATCACAGTTATGGCTCCTGGTTTTGGATCGGTTCAGCTCTGGCCATTACTGCCACTTGGGGAGTGAATCCGTGGACGAAGATCTTTTTCTCTGTATATCTGACTTTCCAATAAAAATAAATAAATAATTTGAGGTAGCAAACATATTCCCATCCTTGGATCTACTCCCCAAATATACATCAGTGGCTGGCGTGGGGTCAGCTTGGGTTGGAATTCAATCCAGGTCTCCTATGTAGGTGGCAACACCACTACTTGAGCTATCATTGCAGTCTCCCAGGGTCCACATTAGTGTCTTAACCACTAGGCAAAATACTTAATTCCTTTTGCAAGTTTTGAACATATCCAAATTACAAAACCTCCTTCTTACCTGATCAAAGAGGGTAAATACACATAAATTCCAACTCAACAAACATTTGCTGAGTGGTAAGGAGTGATGCGGAGTTGAGCGCTGAAATTTGGTAGAACTAGATTAGAATCCTAACTTTCCCAGATCATTTGACTTTTGGTAACTTCCCTAAATTATCTGTTGTTGGTGTTCTTTAAAACTGGGATTATAACTGACTCACTAAGTTACCTGAGAATTAAATATTCAACTATAGGTAGTCAATAAGTGTTATTATTATCTTGAATACACTGTATGTTGGGCAATATGCTAATGGAGATAAAAGATGTTTGCTAAAACATCTGCCACCAAGGTGCTAACAATCCAGACAGAAAAGTATAAATATCAAAGAATCTTCGTAATGCAACAGAATACTATTTTGGAATTAAACGTAATGCTATGATGTGCTCAGACATGAAAATCTACCAGGTCGTGTGTCTTCTGTGTAGGTAACTGGAAGGAATGAACCCTGGGATTAATATGGCAGCTAAAAGGCTCTATGTAGCAGTGTGGAATGGAGTCTTGTGCCTGGTGCCACAAGCTCCAGAAAGTAGCTTTCTGCCATGGCTTGAGAAAGAATATACCTATATTATCCTTCATTTTTATCTCAGTCATTAAAGAATTGTAAAGAACTCTTTTGACTCTTTAGAATGGTTTTATAAAGGAAACAAGGTCAAAGCAAGGTTGTCATTGCAATTTACAAGAGGCACTACTCATTTTGTGGTAAGATGGCAATCTCTGGAACACAGGAAATATAAATGACTGCTCCTGAACTGCAGACCAAAGCAGATTGGTGGAGAGGTTATACAAACACTATGGTAGTTAGTGGAACTGACCTCCAACTGAAAACCTGTGCTGTCCCCAACCATATCATACCATCTCTTACTGTGATACTTTACAGGTATGTGGCAGACTGTGAACTAAACATTGAATTAAAACAACAAGTAGGGGCCAGTTTATGTCCTGCTGCTCCACTTCTGATCCAGTTCCCTGCTTGTGGCCTGGGAAAGCAGCAGACGACAGCCCAAAGCCTTGGGACCCTGCACCCACATGGGATACCTGGAGAAAGCTCCTGGCTTCTGGCTTCAGATCAGCTCAGCTCTGGCAGTTGCAGCTGTTTGGGGAGTGAACCAGCACAGAGAGGACCTTCTCTTATCTCTTCTGTCTCTGTAAAATCTGCCTTCCAAATAAAAAAATACATATATTAAAAAAATAATAAATCTTACAAAATAACAAACACTTCCCGGTAAGGGGTTTGTTAAAAGAACCTGGTAGGTTTATTAAAATGCATTTGACTCCTATAAGCACTAGCAAACAACAAATAAGGTGCTTGATGCATTTTAAAATTCTACTTAATGGAAAAATAAAGATAAAAAAAATACAAGGGACCAACTGTCTACACTGGGCTTCTCCCCACCACTCAGACTAAACACAAAAATGAAGACCATGAAACAATTTTCTGCAGACATATCTTAAATTATCCCAAAGTAAAACTTTGATTTCGTCAGAAAACTTTTCTATACTTGTAGACTTGGCAAGACAAAACAAAAAGCACTCTTTCTTCCAAACCAAGAAATAACATAATGCTACTAAAACTCAGAGATTTGGCAACTACTTCTTATAAATAAAAAAAAGTTTTTTAAAATTCTTACTTATGTCAATAATATTACAGTTTACACAAGTTTCATGCATTCTCTTACTCTAAGCCTACTCAGAAGGCAGGAATACTTCTTTGGGTTGAGGATTCATGAGGATGTCAATATGCTTTATCCAGGAAAGCGGATGGTAACAAAACTGGTTCACTGTACGATTGAGACCAGCAAGCCTGTGTCATTATGAAATGAAAGGAATACCCACCAGAGAGCCTCTGGATGAGTAGCTACACAATGTAATCCAAAGAGAAAAAGCAACACCACCTACTCTGTTAATTTTATGAATACTGTCAGAAAGACATCTCTGACAGATGACAGAAATCTCTGAGAATTTTCAGAAACTGACTTACAGGATTGCAAAAGCAGAGGAAGCTTCAGATTTAGAGACACCTCTGTTGTGTTTCCTAGGTGACCTCTGGCAAAGCCACATAATGCCAGAGTCTGGAGTCTGGAGTGAACCAAAGGTCTCGACTTCCCAGCCTGTGTTTTTTTTTCCTTCACTATGTTGCCAATCTCTATCCATCTAACTACCTGAAGTGGTCCACTAACCCTCACTGCCCCTGTTTGTCTTCTGACACGAAACAACAGATTTCTGCACTATATGGATTATGTACCTCTATTGATTTATTAATGGAAGAAAAAAATACAAAAGAAGGATATTCTACAGACAATAAGAGAAGCATAAGAGGAAATATTTTCCTCTTGTACTGTGATTTTATTACTATTATTTTATTTTGTCAGGTCCATATATTGTATAAAACACAACAGGAAAAATAACAACTTTATAAGATAAACTGAGGTGTTCAGATGAAGAAACAAGCATCTGTGTTAATATCTACAACATGTTACTGGTCTTGCACTTTAGGTATCACATAAAAATATCTACCTTGAAACAAAGGTTAATATGCTGTAAGGTTAAGCTGTAGTTGGATGGTGGGCCAGGAAATAACAGATTTTCTAAATCTTATCCTTAAATATTAGCTCTAACAAATGCTGAAAGAGTAAAATGCAAGCTTTTATCAGACAGCCAGAGGGAAACTTGGAGTGAATGAATGCAACTTACCCCCAAGTCTTCTGAAAGGAGGTGAAAAATAAATACCATGTTTCATCAGTGCTCCCCCCAAAGCATTATTCAGAGCATGCAGGAGGGTGTCAGGAGCAGCTACAATACCAAGATCCAACTCAGAGGTAGGTTCAAGGCCACAAGCAGGAGGGTGACTCAAGAATTCCTCCTGGGGCCAGTACCATTTCTTAAGAATGCCCATGTGGTGTGTGTGGGGGGAGGAATGAGTCTATGGCCTATTTTCTCCTGATTTCAAGGACATCCCCAACCCCAACTTTACTGAAAAGAGGCATTTTTACACCTGCTGTTAAAAACAGCTAGGATAATAAGGCTGGTATGAAATTACGTAGGAAGCACATGCTACAGATTCCAGTTTGAAAACTACCAAACTGTAAAATCAGGGGGGAAATACAAGTTCAAGATGGAGCTGTTGTTTCTCAAGCTGAGGGAACAAAATCTTACCATAAAGTCATTAGGTACTCCACATTACGTGGAGAACACCCTCTCAAGCTAGATCAAGGATAGGAACAGCACTGCAAAAAAGGCTTACTAAGCCACTTAATGATTAAAGGAGAGGGAAAAGATGTTTAGGAAGAAAGCTAGTGAATGAACTTTTTCTGACTAGGTAAGTATATCTAAGCCAATCATACCAAAAATATGCTACTAGTTACCCTAACATGAAGCTGGTGGCAAAAAAATCTCCAGACATTTTAAACCCAAAGAATAAAAGATGACAGTTAACCAAACAAGTTAAAAACAAAGCTCCCACATCTCTTCAGATTTTAAATTCAAGGTACTTTTCATTAATTCTGTGATTAGGGGGAAAAAATTGGGGAACGAATGCAAAGATTTGTTTTATTTCTACTGCGGGAAGAAGGTGAATAAACAGAACTGTTTTCCAATTTGGTCTCCAATGAATACAAACATACCCACACACATACATTCACATATATAACCAAAAATACCCCAACACCACCAAAAAAATAAACTGGGGAATGGGGGAAAAGGGCAAAAAATCCCCACAAGTCAAAACCCAAAATACCCTCAAACTGTACCAGTACTTCATATTTTGACCAAAATAATAGATCCTGGGAGTGCAAAATGCAAAATCAAATGACCAAACAATGCTGAACAAACAGCATTATTCATATACAAAATATTTATATTACTGAACTAGTAACAAGTGATCTTCTCTGTTGGTAAAACTTTGGAACCACATAGCGATTTGTTAAATCTAGTCCATGCTAGCTTCCAAACTCCAAAAATTAATTCAGTTAGCTTCATTCTTAGATGCTTCATCAAAATTTTCTACAAGATCTGAAAAAGAAAAAAGCAAATTAGTCAGACTTGAAAAAGAGGAAAAACAATTAAATGGAATTCCCAACTTTAAACCTCAATAAAAATAAAACTTGCAATTGGAGTTAGCCTGGAAGCATAAAGTACAATAAGCAGAAATTTCACTAACAATGATTCACTTACCTGCTTAAAACACTAATCCTGAGAAAACTGGCATTTTTTTTGGTCTGCAAATTAAGGTGAATAACATTCTCATATGTCAGTTATAGTTCCTACGGAAATGTTGTAAAACCATGAGAATTTATAATCACTGTGATTGCAATTTAACAAATGCAAATAGCAGAGCTTTGTGTGACAATTTCTGATTCTAAGTTCTAGATGGCATGACATTATTTTTCATTAGATCCTATCTGTATCACTGTGAATAAACTTAAATTCATGAACCAGCTTACAACAAAAACCTGAAAATTATTTGCGCAATAAGTTAAATGAGAAAAATAGAATGCTAAAAATCTTACAGTGATGTCACTTACCTGGAACATCATCATCTTCCTCATCAATGTCTTCTGCTTTTGGTGTTTTGCTATCCAACACTATAAAAAGTTTATTTTAATATTAAACACTCAGAAGATCCTTACACTAAATAGCATATAGTCACTCAGATAAGTCTAAATATTGTCAAATCTTCAATACCATATATTTATTTTTGCTTACATTAAAATTAGTTAAAACTTCACACAGTAAATAAACTTTAAACATAATTGGCAACTTCTCTGCAGCAAAGGCTAAACTTTACATGCAAAATGAAATAACTGAGCTTGAATATGTCACTAAACCTAAAGTAACCTATTTTCCAAATAAAACATTAATATTCAAGTTTTAGTTGTTCTCATTTCCTTTGGTGTAGGACAGTCTATAACTATGGTAGTGTGGACAGTGGAAATAACTAAGGTTGTATGAGTGAGAGGCAATGATGCACATTTGAAACAGGACTATCCCAGAGACTCAGAATTTAAGATTGGCATATATACAGTGCAATCAATATTTACAAAAGTACAGATTTGTGATAAACTGTCTTCACTTACCACAAGAGTATCAAATTAACTGTTTCAAAATGTGGCTTGCAGACCTTGGCAATTTTTTAAAAATATAATTACTATTCAACTTACTGTATCACTACAAAAATGTATGAGTATTTGATACATAAACTTAAAAATTTTATGAACTAAAGAAAAAAGTTAATGAACCGCCAAAAACAAAAACAACAAAACCAAATCAAAACAAAAATACCACTGCATACAAACCCTCCAATTTCAAATGGAATATCTTTTAAATCATGTTTCTTTAACAAGGGTGGGAAGAATAAGGGATGCTCTACTGAAATGCTTACCTTGCCGTGGGAACTGTTCAGCTAATTTCCTAAGGCTTGTTAGGCTGTCGGCACCAAGCTGACTTAATATTCCAGGAAGCATTTCTGTGATTGGCTTGGCTTCTGCATGACCAGTAATTGCAAAGGTGTTAGCTGAGAGGGAAGCTTGGACTTTGGGATTGTTGAAATGAATAACGGTCCCATCATCTTTTATCATGTTCACCTGTAAGATCACAGAAGAAAAGTGTACTTCATATGGAAGGAATGACTGAAACAGCATTTTAGCAATTTCAAAAATGCAATTTAGTCAATTGTTTCTTATTTGTAGGTATGCAATCCCAATATAGCTAAGTAGTGGACATGGGTGGAAAAGACCCTAGCAATAAACAACATGTAGTAGATACCACAAATTACTAGGATGGTCAAGAAATAGTCACCTATTCTTATAATCTAGATATCTAATTCAGACTATTACAGGAAGAAACTTCACATTCCCCTCTGTTTTAAGAAAAAAAAAATTATTGGCCAGAAAAAGTCTTTTCATGAATTTACTGATTTTCTTACTCAATTTACACTATCAAAGCCTTTGTCTGTTTCCTTAATTCCACCTGCCGGGACACCTGAATGTGCTTTATCAATGACTAGGAAACCCTTAAAATCATCCACACATTCTTCCTATGGCTCCCCACAGTCAGATCTGATGTGAAATATATCCTAGGGCCTGGGACTTAGTAACATGGAAGATCGAATGTAGGTTGCTTAAATTGACATTTTTCCTCTCAGTCATGTTCTTTTTGTTTTCATTAGAGTTGAATCTGCATAACTTTAATGTATAAATAATGTGATTCTACTACGTAATTAATTTTTCTAGGTAAGTTACCTTGTTGGTAACATGCTTATTATATAAAAAGTTGGGAGAGTTAATTCTTGGCTACTTTAGAAGCATTTCATGATCCATCCAAAAACTGCCCTTGTCACAACCAAGCGAGATGCTGAGTGTTCTCCATGGTCAGTGGGAAGTGGGCTTTTCTTCTCAGAGGTGATCACCACCACTGACAGCACCAGAAGGGAAGGGGAAGGAAGGGGCTTCTAAATTTCAGGCAAGACCTGGAACACAGAGAAAATAAAGGCAAATCCCTGGAAAATTATCACTAAACCACACAAATAATTGCCCCAGCTTTTTTTTTTTTTTCTGATAAAAGTCCTTATTTAAACTCTGTATTTTTTCCTTCTTAGTACTCTCCTTAAGATTCTATGAGTATATCACACACAGTAAGTATTCATCAGTTCAGGTGTTCTAAACCAAGAGCATTGTGAGATAATTCATATCAGCTTCAAAAATAAACTATATAGTTCTGAACATACTCAGAACTTTGGTAAAAATGTTAAATGTTAAAGTAGCCAAAGATATAGAAGAGGGAGGGACTCAAGAAGGAAGTGAATACAGTGCTACTACATGGAATACTGCTCTGCATCCGAAAAAATCACATCATCTAGTAAGAGAAATAAAAAAAAAAAAACATGGCTAGACTATGTTTTTTTTTTTTTTTCATTTTACTTTATTTTTTGTATAATCTTACTTAGTTGATTAGGGTACAAAGGGTCAAGGGCTACAGGAAAGTGGGTAATACCACTGTTTTCACACTAACATCATCATTTTTTTCCCTGTGTCTGGGGTCAGGGAAGAAATAAAGGGAGAAGACCCACCCAGCCTCCCACCCATCCCAGGTCCCCAATGTGGGGCATGCTCTGAGGGTCTTGCTCAAGCACTTTTGATAGTTCAACAGTTACGAATTGCTGCCAATCTTGTCATTCCACGCAAGATGAAATCTCTTCAGATTCTACTGACTGACACAGTCTCTTCATGGTTGGGGTTCTGAGATCAGCAGTTCAGTTGGACGGATCCCCAAAGAAACTTCATCTGAGATGATCCCAGATCTGATTCTTGTGTGTGCTTGACAGTATAGGATCAGGTACAGTCCACCACCCCAATCAGCTTATGCACATGTTGGTCACTGCAATTGCTGAGTCAGTTCTGTTTCCAGCCCGGTCTTTCACTGGAACCAATGGGTGTTGCAGTCCAGCCTGATCTGCCCACTTCATACTTGGCCCTCACGCAAACCAGTGGGAGCTGCAGCATAGATGGGGTGACTCAACATAACCCTCACCAGGCCTGCCCCTTTTCTGGTTCCCATGCATGCCAGTATGTACCGCAGACTTGTTCAGTCTGTCCCACATCCCATTCAGCTCTTATACATGTCAATGGGCCTTGAAGTCTAGTTCAACCCAGCCAACCCTACTATCCAGCCCACATACATACTGGCAGGTGCCTTTCTGTCTAGCCACCCCTGTCCCTGTCCCTGTCCTGGTTTTCATGCCCTCCAGTGGGAATGGTAACACAAGAGGGAGGTGCCCACTATCTCCCTACTACGCCACTCCCACTCCCGGATCATGCACTCTCCAGGTGGTTCTGCAGTGCAACTTGACAGAGTAAGCCCCCAGTGCCAGCCTTTGCCAACTGATGCTGCAGCAAAGCCCAACCAACCCTCACCCACTCTAATTTTTGCTTGTAGCAGTTGGAACAGTCAGTCCAGCCTGGCTCTGCACTGATCTAGCTCACATGAGATCCACAGGTGTTGTAGCCCTCCCTGCCTAGTCTGGTCTGCCCCTATCTCAACTCACGCTTTCCAATGGGAGTGGCTGTCCAGCAGGGGAACCCACTTTCCCCTTGCTGGATTTACCCCCTCCTTCCTTGGTTCTCACGTGTGCTGTTTGAGCACTGTGCGGCCACATCTGGTATGTCTCACCCCACCTTAGCATTCTGTAATGTGCACTGGTTTATGTTGCGACCAAGCCTGGCCTGACCCACACTCTGTTCTGGTGCTCGGTTTCACCAGTGGGTGATGTGAACGAGTTCAGCCTGGTGTGCCCCCCACCTATGCCAAATGCATGCCAGTGGGTATCTTCCTCTGGCCTGGTCTGGGTTGCTCCCGAATGTGCTTTTTGTGCTCACCTGTAGGTACTATGTCCCAACAGAGGAGTCTCCCAAGCTCCTCCATCAGAACCTCTCCCTATGCCAGATCTTGTACATACTGGTGGTTCCATGGGACAGCCTTCATCGTAGGCCTTAAATCCATTCTAATTCTTGATGTTGGGTGTTTCAGTCCAGCCAAAGCTTGTTCATATGCAAACACTGATCACACATGGCTCAGTAGGGACAGAGACCTAGCCTAGTCTGTCCTACATCTACCCAGAGCACCAGATGGTGCTGGCATCTAGCCCAGCTTGGTGTACCCATCTCCAGTTCACACTTATGCCAAGGGAGATTGCATGGCTACACTGTTACAAATCAATGGTATAATAAAGGAGTTCTATAGACACTTTCAGGCATAATGACTTTCAAATACTGGAATTTTACTCACAAGAGATTAAAATCAATATTGTTCCAAGATATCCAGATTATGTATCTGAACTTATGTAGAGGTTTGCAAATTCACATCAATTTCATTAAAGAAATTAAGGCTAATGGAGGGACTGGTGGCATAACAAGTATAGCTGCTGTCTTCAACATCAGTATCCCATATGGATATGTATTTCATCCTGCTCCACTTCTTCTTTTTTAGAGATTTATTTATTTTCTGTTGAAAAATCATATATATAGAGAGAGGAGGAAAGACAGAGAGGAAGATCTTCCATCTGATGGTTCACTCCCCAAGTGACTGCAACGGCTGGAGCAGTACCAATCCGAAGCCGAGAGCCAGGAGCTTTTCCAGGACTCTCATGTGGGTGCAGGGTCCCAAGGCTTTGGTCCATCCTTCACTGCTTTCCCAGGCCACAAGCAGGTAGCTGAATGGGAAGTGGAGCCACTGTGATTAGAATCATGCCGATATGGGATCCAGGTACATTCAAGGCGAGGACTTTAGCTGCTAGGTTATTATCTCTAGGCCCTCCAATTCTTTTTTTTTTTTTAGACTTATTATTATTGGAAAGTCAGATATACAGAGAGGAGAGGATAAACAGAGAGGAAGATCTTCTGTTCCTTGATTAATTCCCCAAGTAGTGTAACGGCTGGAGCTGAGCTGATCCGCAGCCAGGAGCCAGGTGCAAACTACAATTAAGAGTGGGTGAGGGCCCGGCGCGGTGCCTCAGTGCTTAAGGTCCTCGCCTTGCACGCCCGGGATCCTATATGGGCGCTGGTTCTAATCCCAGTGGCCCCACTTCCCATCCAGCTCCCTGCTTGTGGCCTGGGAAAGCAGTTGAGGACGGCCCAAAGCTTTGGGACCCTGCACCCGCGCAGGAGACCTGGAAGAGGCTCCTGGCTTCGGACCGGCATAGCATCGGCCGTTGTGCTCACTTGGGGAGTGAATCATTGGACGGAAGATCTTCCTCTCTGTCTCTCCTCTCTGTATATCTGCCTTTCCAATAAAAATAAAAATAAAACTTTAAAAAAATATATAAGAGTGGGTGAGGGTTGTTTGGGCTTAGCCACAGCATCAGCTGACAGACGCTGGCCCTGGGGGTTAATTCTGTCAAGTCAAACCATAGAACCACCTGGAGAGTGCATAATCCGGGAGTGGGAGAGACCTGGGAGGGAAACAGTGGGCTCCTCCCTCTTCGGTTATCACTCCCACTGAAGAGCACAAAAACTGGGACACGGGTTGGGGTGGCTAGACAGAAAGGCACCCAACAGGAATGTGTGTTGGCTGGATAGTGGAGCTGGTTAGATGGAACTAAGCTTCAATGCCCATTGACATGTACGAGCGCCAAATGGGATGTGGGACAGACTGGAATAGTAAGCTACACATACTGGCAAACCAGGGTAGGGGGCGGGCCTGGTGGGGGTCATTGCGGGTCGCTCCAACTAGGCTGCAGTTCCCACTGGTTTATGCGAGGGCTGAGTATGTGCTGGGCAGAATCAGGTTGGACTAGAACACCCATTGATTCCAGTGGAAGTCAGGGCTGAAAACAACCAACGCAGCAATTGCAACCAACAGCTGATCGGGGCGATGGTCTGTGCCGAGCCCTGTACTTGCTAGTACATACAAGAATCTGGACTGGGAACACCTCAGACAAAGCTTCTTTTGAGATCTCCCCAATCGAAATGCCAGACTCAGAACCGTAACCAAGAAAAGACAGAACAAGTTAATCAACCACCTCAGCTATATGTTGGTAGCGAAATACTGGGCAAACAGAGACTCTATGATGGACTGTATCAATCAATGA